ATATTCGGTATTTTGATGATTTTACCCCACATTTTTCAACGGAATTGTCTGAAAATCCATACAAGGAGTTCCTTGTGGGTACTTTATATCTCGGCAGAGAAATGTCCATATAGGTCCACGATATCGTATAGCCCCCATGTAACGGTACCCCCCGATATTCGGTATTTTGATGATTTTACCCACATTTTTCAACGGAATTGTCTGAAAATCCACACAAGGAGTTCCTTGTGAGTACTTCACCCCCTGAGAGAGAATTGTCTATACAGGTCCACGATATCGTATATCCCCCATATAACGGTACCTCCCGATATTCGGTATTTTATGATTTGACCCACATTTTTAATCATTTTACCTCCTCAAAATGAAGTGTCTATATAGGTCCACGATATCGTATATCCCCCATATAACTGTAACCTCCGATATTCGGTATTTTGATGATGTTTGCCACGTTTTTCAATGGAATTGTCTTAAAATCAACACAAGTAGTTCCTTGTGAGTACTTCACCCCCTGAGAGAGAATTGTCTATACAGGTCCACGATATCGTATATCCCCCATATAACGGTACCTCCCGATATTCGGTATTTTATGATTTGACCCACATTTTTCATCGGAATTGTCTGAAAATGCACACAAAGAGTTCCTTGTGGGTACTTTATACCTCGGCAGAGAATTATCTATATAGATCCACGATATTGTATAGCCCTCATATAACGGTACCCCCGATATTCGGTATTTTGATGTTTTTGACCATATTTTTCAACGGGGTCACAAGGGGTTCTTTGTACACAAGGGGTTCTTTGTGAGCACTTTACCCACCGACAGAGAATTCTCTATATAGGTTAACGATAACGTATAGCTCCCATATAACGGTAAGCCGCGATATTCGGTATTTTGATGATTTTAGCCACATTTTCCAATCGTATTGTCTGAAAATTCACACACGGAGTTCCTTGTGAGTACTTTACACGCAGACATAGATTTGTCTTTATAGGTCCACAATATCGTATATCCCCCCATATATCGGCACCTTCCTATATTAGATATTTTAAAGATTTTAAAATAATTTTTATTGGATTTTATTTTTTTGAAAATTTTCTAATTCGTTCCAAATGGTGGAGGGTATTCAAAGTTCGGCCCGGCCGAACTTACTGCTTTTTTACTTGTTAAATTATCAACATAAGCTAAAATTAGTACGAAAAATATGGTTAAAATGTAGAATATACTTTAAATCGGGTTGTTCCATTATTGGGGGTTATGGCCCATATCATGACATGCCAAAGCGATTAAAGGTATCTTGAATGTTTGGAAATAATTTCTGGAAGGAATTCGCTCTACTATTTTGTGTCCTTTATAGTCGGTATTTTACGAATTGCAGTCCCAATGTATTTTGCATTTTGAGTTCTCATTGGACAAATTATTGTCATATGAAAGAAACAGGTCCACTTGTTGAAGTGAACCCCATAACGCTTTTTCGGTCATTTTTGTTTGTATAAATGTGTTCGCATCTTCCAGCTGAAGGTCCTGGAGTTGAAAGCTAGATGCCAATTTTATACATGAAAGATCTCCATTTAACATCGTATTACACACTTATTTAATTTTTAATATTATTCATTCAGAATTGAAAACAATAAGAAATGTACACTTCAATATAGAAAAAAGAAGGGATTGAAAAAAGAAAAATAATCTTCAACTGGCTCGACTGGTTTTTTTACGGCAAATTTTTAAAGGTCCTTATGAAGTTTGTTTGTAGAATGTACTATTATTTTGAAATTCGTTTTCATTGAAAAATTTTCGATTGTTCCCGATTTTAGAATTTTCTCTTCTGAAATGATATTCTTCGTATTACCCAAAAAATACATAAAATCTATAAATAATAGTTTTATCCGTTGTCGCTTTATACTACCCAAAAAAACTACACATCATATTAGAATTCCAAAAAAAAAAAACACTACAAATGTACATTCGAAAATAGTAAGTCAAAATGGAAAAAAATCATGCAAAATAAAACATTACTATTGTACATTTTAAAAGTCAAAATGAAAATGTTCAAAATTTTACATTTTTACGCGATTTTTTTGGATTTTATGCTTTTCTGCCAAGAGGCAATTCCGAATTTGTCTGAATCGTTAAAATCAGGCCGACGGTCTTTATGTTATAAGAGTAGTAACTAACACAACATTCTTTTACATATAGAGAGATAGATTTAAAAGTAGGCGCGTTCCTAACCCCCTAAATAAGTACTTAGGGTTGGATGGAAAGCCAACAGCATCTCGTGTAATAATTCTCAAACCGATATCTTCACTATTTTAGCAAATATAAAGATTTTATATAAATCGTAATAGTGGACGTAAAAGGAGGCGTGGTCAATGTTTTTTTCTTTAAAAACCTAACTTGGGGTATGACGAATGTTTGTACAAAAAATTATTCAAATCGGTGCACCCGTTCTCAACTGATTCCGTTACCAACGAACAACAGTTGATTTATATATATATATACTAGCTGGCCCGGTCCGCGTTTCCGGCCCGTACTTTTAGTCTTTAATGCGTATTTTTTAAAGCACAATAAATCACAGATCTGACTTATGTAAGCGGCACAATTTTCATTATAAGTAATGACTTCATTTTGATTATAAGTAATGACTCCATGACTAAATAGAAATTAGTTTTTGTTTTAAATAGCTTTATGATAAAGAACATCTATAATAGCCCAAAGTGAAAATTCAACACAATTTTTATTATTATAAAAAGCTTTACATTTTCATTCAAATTATCTATAATTTCGAATTTGTATTTCCAACGTTTAAAATCCCGTACTGCGTGGTATTTAGTTTTGTCCACCTCATACTTGAAGGCAGAATGTTGTCAGAATAGCCAAAAAATTACTCTTTTGCTCCGATTACCGTAAGATGGGCATAAATTTTTTGTCATTTAAATTGTGCGGTGGAGATCCAATAAAGTCCACATTTTTCATCGTAGTGTAATTCAATGTCGATTAAAGAAATGTTCGGTGTCGTGTTACTTTCTAATTTGGTATTTTTTTCATGTTTCTGCCACAACATCCGACTGAATGAGTCCCAGATTGACATTTCTGAGTTTATTGCATATAGACGTACATCCCAAATCTACGTTCCCAACCAATATTCTCTTGGGGGTTACAAATTCAATAGAATACCAAATTTTTTTTCTGACCACACATTGGTTGGGAAAGTGGACTTGGGGGTAAGACTAAAGTGGGGACTAACTTAAATAAATGCCTATGTGGATACTTATCTGTAAGATGGTTTTTCTACACCCAGGGGTTTTTTACCCATGTAGCCCTTACGACTAGGATGGGCCCTTTTCCGAAAAATAAAAATTTTATGAGAAGAGGTGTTCTCCCCCCCCCTTACCTTACAAGTTTGTACTAATTATGTTGCACTAAGTTTGTACTATTATTTTGAAATTCGATTCCATTGAAAAAGTTTCGATTTCTCCCGATTTTAGAATTTTCTTATCTTATTCTCTTCTGAAATTATATTATTCGTATTACCCAATAAATACATATAATCTATAAATAACAGTTTTATCCGTTGTCGCTTTATACTACCCAAAAAAACTACACATCATAATTTCCACAAAAAAAAAAAAAAAAAAAAAACAGAAAAAAAAACACTACAAATGTACATTCGAAAATAGTAAGTCAAAATGGAAAAAATTATGCAAAATAAAACATTACTATTGTACATTTTAAAAGTCAAAATGAAAATGTTCAAATTTCTCATTTTACGCGATTTTTTTGGATTTATTTTATTTTGTGCCAAGAGGCAATTCCGAATTTGTCTAAATCGTTAAAATCAGACCGGCGGTCTTTATGTTATAAGAGTAGTAACTAACACAACTTTCTTTTAAATATAGAGAGATAGATTTAAAAGTAGGCGCGTTCCTCGGCCCCTAAATAAATACTTACGGTTGGATGGAAAGCCAACAGCATCTCGTGTAATAATTCTCAAACCGATATCTTCACTATTTTAGCAAATATAAAGTTTTTAGATAAATCGTAATAGTGGGCGTAAAAGGAGGCGTGGTCAATATTTTTTTCTTTAAAAACATAACTCGGGGTATGACGAACGTTTGTACAAAAAACTATGCAAATCGGTCCAGCCGTTTTCAACTGATTCCATTACCAACAAAAAACAATTTATTTTGATATATATATATATATATATATGAAAATTTCCCAATAATACTACAACATTACCTGCCTATATATATAGATATATATATATATATATATATATATATATATATATATATATATATATATATATATATATATATATATATATATATATATATATATATATATATATATATATATGAAAATTTCCCAATAATACTACAACATTGCCTGAAAGTAACATGGGCTATATACATTTTTGAAATTCCACTTGGGAGTGGAGATATTTAGATTGTAGATTTTATATGCACATATCTATTGATAGATTACAGATACAGATTTGGATGTAGCTCCCATATATATATATATATATATATATATATATATATATATATATATATATATATATATATATATATATATATATATATATATATATATATATATATATATATATATATATATATATATCTTTCAGCCAATGTTGTAGTATTATTGGGAAATTTTCAGGAAAATCTGTTCAGCGTTTTTCGAGTCCATAAATTACAAACAAACATACAAACATTTTTGTCTTTCATTGATATAGATACCCAACAAAATTTAATGGAAGTGGCTCTATGTAAACAACTTCCATTTATGCTAAACAACAACAGATAGATATGTAGATGGGAAAAAATAAATTCAATTACACAAAAAACTTGAAGAATATATACTGATTTTGTTTACAGTACACCAAAAAATAGTAAGAAAGATAAACGAAGTGAAGGTTTTATTAAATATAAAAATATACCATAAATTAATGTAGAAAATTATATAGGAGACAAAGTACATAATATCGGCTTACCACATCTATTAGTTGAGACAATTTAAGTTTTATGCAAACTTTTAGAACATCCGTTGTGTTTACTACTGGCCTGACCAATTTATTGTAGTTGCTTAGAAGATCATCATAAAGACGTTTTGCATCTGGGTTACCTGCAACAGCACCATGCACCATTAAAGCCGACAGTAGCCAAGTTCTAATTTTTTCTCCAGTGATTGATTTCATAGTGCAGCCTTTAAATTTTCGCAGTGATGAAACAATGGACCTGTGCGTAAAATAGAAAGAATAGAATCAGCTGATTTAATTTACAATAATAGGAGAACAAATCAACATAGCAGCATCTAATCAACTTTCAAACATACGACCTAAGACCATTACACGAAGTATCTCTATATAGGGATTATATCAATAATACCCCTATACAAAGGTACCCCCATATTCGGTGTTTCTACGATTCAGTATTTATTCACCGGAATTGTTTCAAATTTCGTATTTGAAGTTCCTAATGGGTACTACAGCCTGTGACAGAAAATTGTCTATGCAGGCCCAGGTCTTCGTGTAGCTCCCTATATTCCGTATTTTGATGATTTTAGCGACATTATTCTCCGGAATTCTTTCAAACTTCGTATTTGAAGTTCCTAATGGGTACTACAGCCTGTGAGAAAATATTTTAATAGCCTATGATATTTGGGGGTTTTCTTTAATATTTTACATTAATTACTGAGTGTTTCTTTGGATATGTGAATAGTTCCGAAAAGGATATAAAGAATGTCCTCGTATTTTATAATGTCTTCAATTTAATGTAACCTTTTCCTGACTAAAGCCAAACTTCCATAAATTGACTTAGCAAAATGGACATATTTCAAAACAAAAAAAAATGAATAAATAAAAATAAAATATTCCCTCGCAGGCTATTGCAGCTAAAATGTTTACAGATTATAAAAGCCATGCGACATCACCTGACATTCCCAACTAAACCCTTTTTAAAACCAGTAAAGAAAGCCTTCAAGTCGGGCGGGGCCGACTTTATGATACCCTACACCACTTTGCTAATTAAGTAGAGCTCCACATAACAATTAAAAATTTTTATGGGAGAATTCAATCATACACGCTATGATTATAATTATAATTTAAAGTTCAAAGGACTAAATATGCCGAAGCATTTGTATCTTTTAAATTCGGAATTTTATTGCCCATTTGATGCACAATTAATTTGAAATCGGATAAAGATATATATGGGAGCTATATCCAAATCTGAACCGATCTCGATAAAATTTGGCAAAGATGTTTCTGAGCTGTATTTGATATATTTTCCTGAATATAGTTGTTACGGAGTGCATATTACGGTTGTGGGTAACAAATATAACAAATCGGATGAATAATATATATGGAAGCTATAGCTATATCTGAACCGATCTTCACCAAATTTGACATACTAGCTTCTAGACTTAATTCGGTCGTAAGTGCCAAATTCCATCCCATTTGGACAAATATTAGTGCACAAAAAAAGGTAAATCGGACGAAGTTATATATGGGAGCTATATCCAAATCTGAACCGATCTCGATAAAATTTAGCAAATGTATTTCTGAGCTGTATTTGATACATTTCCCCAAACATTGCATAGTGCATATTACGGCGGCGGTGGACAAAAATAAAAAATCGGATGAACAATATATATGGGAGCTATAGCTATATCTGAACCGATTTTGATCAAATTTGGCATACATATTTTCAGGCCCAATTTGGGTGTATATGCCAAATTCCATACAATTCGGACTGATATTACACGTTTGGTGCACAATAAAAGGCAAATCGGACGAAGATATATATGGGAGCTATATCTAAATTTTGACCGATTATCTCCAATTTCAATAGAGTTCATCCTTGGGCCAAACAAAAGATCTTTGCAAAATTTCATCTGGATCGGGCAATAAATGCGACCTGTACTTTGTTTACAAAAATACATGGACAGACGGACAGACGGACGGACAGACGGACGGACGGACAGACGGACGGACGGACATGCATAAATCGACTCAGAATGTGATTCTATGCAGATCATCAAAAGGAACTATGGGTCTATCTCGTTTCCTTCTGCCTGTTACAAACAAATGCACAAAGACATAATACCCTGACCACCTTGTGGTGTAGGGTATAATTACGCAAGTGAAAAAAGAGACGTATCTAATATACGCTAAAAATATAATATGGTGGGAGTATAAAAAGAATACAAATCCTTGGAGTGCATTTGGAGGAAAAAACTAATAAAATTATTGAAGAGCAAAAAAGCCCCAATATCCAAATAATTTGTTAAAATATTAGAGTGAAAATAGAAGGGGGAACATTAAAAAAATAAAATTTTCAAGTAAGTCATCCTATGTCAATTTTTATACATTACACCACAAGGTGGTCAGTGTATTATGTCTTTATGCATTTGTTTGTAACAGGCAAAAGGAAACGAGATAGACCCATAGTTCCTTTTGATGATCTGCATAGAATCACATTCTGAGTCGATTTATGCATACCCGTCCGTCCGTCCATGTAGTTTTGTAAACAAAGTACAGTTCGCATTTATTGTCCGATCCAGATGAAATTTTTTTCATTTATTTGGCCTAAGGACGAACCCTATTGAAATTGGAGATAATCGGTAAAAATTTGATATAGCTCCCATATACATATATCTTCGTCCGATTTGCCTTTTATTGTGCACCAAACGTGTAATATCAGTTCGAACAGTATGGAATCTTGCACGTACGATCAGATAGGACCTGAAAATAAGTATGCCAAATTTGATCGAAATCGGTTCAGATATAGCTATAGCTCCCATATATATTGTTCATCCGATTTGTTATTTTTGTCCTCCGCTGTCGTAATATGCACACTGTAACAACAATATTTGGGGAAATATATCAAATACAGCTCAGAAATACATTTACTAAATTTTATCGAGATCGGTTCAGATTTGGATATAGCTCCATTAAATAACTTCGTCCGATTTACCTTTGGTTGTGCACCAAACGTCTAATATTTGCGAAAAATAAATGAAATTTGGCACTTACGACCGAATTGAGTCTAGAAGCTAGTATGTCAAATTTGGTGAAGATTAGTTCAAATATAGCTATAGCTCCCATATATACTGTTCATCCGATTTGTCATATTTGTGACCCACAGCCGTAATATGCACTCCGTAACAACGATATTCAGGGAAATATATCAAATACAGCTCAGAAATATCTTTGCCAAATGTTATCGAGATCGGTTCCGATTTGCATATAGCTCCCATATATATTTTTATCCGATTTCAAATTAATTGTGCACCAAATGGGCAATACAAGTCCGAATTTAAAAGATCGTCATATTTAGGGTAGAGTATCATAAAGTCGGCCCCGCCCGACTTTAAGACTTTCTTTACTGGTTTTTTAATTACATCATGGAAAAATTATGATCGAATGTGACTCAAATAAATCACAACTCTAGAAATAGGGTATCACTTTTGGACGCTTCAAGCGCCGCCTCGGCTAACAGCAATGCTGATAACATCAATGAAGTGCTGGTAAAGGAACCTGCTACCATATCAGGGAGATTCGTCGTCTTCCTATTTGTGTAAAGGAACTGTGGGTGTTTTATGGAAACCCAGTACACTATGTGCGATGAGTTGAATCCTAGCAGATTTCACAATGGTAAAGGGATATTCTTTGTAACGTGCTATTCTCCAACATATCCGGCAGAAAATTAGGGGTGCGGCTATTCTGCACTCATATCATACAATATGATTGATAGCAACTGGTTTTTTATTAAAGAGTGTCTATCATTACATTACGCGTATAAGAGGGACATACGAACCCTTGTGCATCAGCTGTACCTTAATCAAAAAGGAATGAAAATTTATAAATTTTACACAAAAGTAAATCATCAATTTCCTTTATCATTAACAAGATTAAATCTAAGTCGTATTCGGAAGAGACGATGGGGACTTGGATATCTTCTTTCGGGGCCTCAGAGGAGACATTTCCAGGATTTTACTTATACAACGTCTAGAAACCTTATCCGAAGCATATTATGCATCTCCAAATCATAACCCGTCAATTAATAGAAAAGTATCTATACCAATTAATAACCTGTCAAGCAACACGTCCTATCAGGTAATAAATGGAACTCAAAAGCCACCAAAACACCATTGGTGTCCACAAGCTCACGGCAACCAACTATTGTATCTGACATCAAAGAGAGCGATGAACAAGAAGAAGTGATATTCAATGAACACAATGAGCTCATAGAAATAGTGTCGCAAACAGGTTTAAAATCATATCAAAATATTACTTCTCTGAAATGAACTCAAAAATAAAAAAGAATAGTCACAGATTGCAAAGTGTGCAAAGAAAACAAATATGATAGACATCCGAATAAAATAGAATTAGGAAAAAAATACCGCATTTCTCCGGCGATATTGTGCATATTGATATCTATCTAACGGAAAAGAAACATTTTCTGACCGCAATAGATAAATTCTGCAAACACGCGCAGGAGAAAATTCTTAATTCTAGAGCAACAGCTGACGTTAAAGAGCCACTGAGAGAAATTCTGTCATTTGGAATAGAGCAAACCTCACATTAAAATATTAACAAATCCCATCCCTTACATCCTATAATATCCTACAAAATAACCCAGATTCAGAACAGTGATAAATTTCACATGATCTGTATGGAATGGATTGTAGGAAATTCTGTCCATGTGACTTTGAAGTTAATCAACAAACATTAATAATGTATTAGAGATTAATAATAAACAAGTTGTCATTAAAAATTATACATAGAAAAAATTAACAATATTTCCCAAACAACTAACATAATATTGACAACTATAAGAAACAATGATTTAGATAGTAAGCATATTCTATTCAGGTTAAAATACAAGCTTGATGTTATCATAGAACAGCTAATAAACATTCAATAAGCCATAGAAGATTCAATTTCATTTGTAAATTTAGATGAATCAATGGTGTTGAGAACTCACCAAAATGCTTTTGTATGCTTGTAAACAATATAATGAACTGTCACTGGAATAATTCTAACAGCTGTCGGACGAGTGGCTTAGAAATGACAGCAGTCTGAAGTTGGTTGCAGTTTTTTCATCTTATTATTTGTACTATAAAATATTCATTTATATATCTACTTATTTACCTTCGTATTTTGAAATCATTATAGGTATACACATATTTATGTAGAGCTTGAAAGTTTGGTATTGTATTTTGTATTAAATCTATG